GTAAAATTTATCGGGGGTTCAACGGCAGGGTCCTCGAATTATTTTAGAGATTTATTATGGACAAAAAACACAAATAAGCAAATATTAATAGATATTAATTAAATTTGTATCCGATATGATCATTAGAACTTGTGTAGTGTTCATACGTGAATTAGTTGAGTGGTTAAAATTATTTAAAAATTTAAAATCTCAAAAGATATATAGAAATTTGATAGCTATAAAACTTAAACAAAGAACAAGTCCTTTCTTGTTTTATGTTAAATTATAAATTGAGATAGATTGTGAAAACATATTTTAAATAATTAATTGTTGTGTAAAGTTGGATGTAACAATTTATTTATTAATGGGTAAGCATTTGTAAATAAAATAAAAAATACACTACTAGGCAATGTTTTAAAAACCGGATCAGACATCGAATCAAACGCGCCATTGGATCACGGTTTGACTAGATATTTTTACTTTCTCTTTTCATATATAATTATTTTATTTATTTAATACCTAGAATGAAATATATTTTTTATTTTTTATATTTCCTTCCCACTTTCTACATTTTATTATCCAACACCTTAAAAAAAAAAGAATTTATGGTAAATTCCAACCAACCCTTGATGTATGGTCAAATTATGAAAACCCCTCATGTTTGTGTAATTACAATCATCTCTCGACTATGAATCTTCTTACACGTCCATCGTTGTGGTGTCAAATTTAGTGGAATATTCTAGATTATATGCAATATTATCAATTGTGTACATGTTTTATCTCATTCGATGTTCACATTTTGAAGCACGATGATCATAAAATATGTTTTTTGGCTTGTAACTAATGGATTGTGGTGTATTAAAAACTACATTTTTGCAAAAAACGAGTACAAACTAGAGACCATTACACGGAATCTAGAAGATTATATTGAATTTGACACCATAAAGGTGAACGTGTAATAAGATTCATAGTTGATGAGTAGTTGTAATTATCAAAACATGATGGTTTTTTTTATTTATTTATTTATTTATTTATAATTTGACCATACCTCACGGTCATTGTAATTTACCCAATAATTTACGATCATTTTTTTTTCTTCTCTCTCCACTCTCCACTCTCCTCTCCCCTCTCTCTTTCTTCTTTCTTCTTCCTCATCAGTTTTCACATAAGCCTCCCTCTCTTCTTGTTTTCTTTTTCTTTATCTCTTCTCCCTATATTTATTATTTCTTCTCTCCATTTCCACGCCTATAGTTTCTTTTTTCTACTTTTTTTTTTTCATTTTTTTCTTCATTTTCTCTTTCACCTTCTTCCTCTTCAGTTTCTTCAATCGATAGATATGGCAGCCACAACCTTTTGCAACAGGATATGTTCACCCACAACCTTCTCCGATAGGATTTAGTCAACCACGACCACTTTCGAAGTAGATCCGGCCATGACACACCCTTCTAAGTTAAAACCCGGTTCTTGGACTAGTTATGGGTTTCCCGGTTCTTACCGGTCATACCGGGATTTTGGTAGACCCGGGTTTTTGAACTTTTTGGGTTTTCACATCTAATCGGACCGGACATGGTAACGGTTCGCGGTTGAACTGATCGGATCGGCCGATCCGATCTGGTTTTCAAAATATTGCTACTAGGTATATATAACATAAACAAAAAAAAATTACGTCTCGACTTGGATCTCACATATTATACATCTTTGATTTGAATTTTTTTTTTTTTGTAATGAAGGAACCTGCAGTCAATTATATATGTGTACGTGGTAAATCTACTTGTATATTAGCTTGTAAACCATACTAGGCTAATCATGTACTTACAGTGTAATTATCTGTGATAAGCCCGACCTAGTGATAGTTGACAAGAAAATTCCAATCTCAATTAATTAACACATGTTCGCTTGCTCCAACCATCAAGCACATCTCTTGCCGTACTACAAATAATTTGTTCATTATAGTGTCGAAGTCTGAAGTTTGAAATATTAAAATGTATGATTGCACAATATACTTATATCAATTTGCATATTCTACAATAAATATATTGATTACTATTCCACCAGCTATATGTGTGATGTTTCACCAACTCCCTCCTATAAAAAAAATATGAAATGCATGACTAGGTGGTCTTGAAATATTTAAAATTCGTTTCAAGGTTTTTTCATGCCGTTTTTCGGTTTTTTGAATTTATTTGAAATGGAATCGAAATGGTATATAAAATTATCGAAAACTTCAATTTCTGAACTGATTTTAGTTTCGAATATTTATATGATTTTTCGAAATATATAATATAATCTTAAAATATATTTTGTAATTCCATAATATATCTTATATTATATTTTATATGAAAAATATATACCAAAGACTCAAGTAAATTAAAATTTTATAAAAAAATAATTGGTATGAGAGAAGCCTTATGTTGTGTTTTTCCTTATAAGAAAATCTATGTTTCAATTTGTTGTCCTATATTTTTTTTATTTATTGCGTTTTGTCAAATTCTCTTTTCAATTTTCTTGAATATTCATATTCCTGCAAAATTTCAAAAAAATATAGAAAAAATTATGAAAATTTCCACTACATCCGAATTTGGAACAAGAGATTATAAACAAAATTTTCGAAATTCCGCCGATTCCGAAATAGGAATGATTTTTTGCATTTCGATTTTTAGGAACGTAAATTAGAACTCATTTTTTACTTTTGAAAAAATAAATGCCATTTGAAATGCGTTCCGTCCGATTTCCATCCAATAAAATACGAATAAATATAATGGTTTGACTTCTACTAGGAGATTGCTTTAATTACCATATAAAGTCTCTCTTTTTATATTATTGTGAAATCTTGATATTTAATTATTGTGAATATTTAATTTGGAGAAGCAATGGAATGTCATTACACCGTTCACCTATATTTTAAACCTAGAAATTTAATTAATAATATAAAATTATGTTTGAATATTATTTTTTGAAGGAGTCTTCGAAAGCTTATTAGTAATTACTAATTACTTAATCATTACTGAAATTACGCATTAAAGAACGGCAGACTTTTTTAATAATGCTGCGATAAAACTATGTGCTGAATATATTATTCTATTATTTTAGGATAAATTACACTTATGTCCCTGTGGTATGCTAAAACAACTTTAATGTCCCTATGGTATTGTTTATTACAACCGCACCCCTGAAACAATTATCGGAGCCAAGATTTCATGTCCCGGAGACCATTATGCACTATATTTGCTTCTCGCGAGGCCGTTGATGCTACCATAGACGAAAATTTATAAATCTTATATAAAATAATAAGGATTTAAGAAATGTTAGGAGAGTCATGTTACTCTAACAGAATAACGTATCCAATGCATTATTTCGTTAGGATTTCTAGCAGTGTTTCAGGGGGACAATTGTAATTATTCGATAATATAAGGACCTTAAAGTTATTTTAGCACACCTCAGGGGTGTAGGTGTGATTTGCACTTTATTTTATTCAATTTTTATATAGTTGGTTGAGCAAATATATAGTTAGTGTATGTATGGCAACAGAATTACAGAAGCTCATATCGTGAGCAATGTAATAATAAGGGACATATTCCCAATGGATTCAGAATCACTAGAGGAGCTGAATCTAAATTACAAAGAGTTCGGGGACTTGATTGAAAACCTGGACAAAAAGCACCATCACCTGGAAGCCAGAGCCGGACAATTGGCCGGAGCATACGTGATTTTCCAAGCAATCATGTACATGCAGGTGTTCCTTCCCTCCGCCGCCGCAGCGCCGCAGCAGGGGAGGAGGTGGATCTCGATCTCCATGTCGGCGTTGATCTCGATCGCGTTCTGGATCACCTTCGCAACCACCGTGAGGGATTGCATCAGGACACGAGGGCAGCAGGAGTCGACGTTTGAGGAGCAGCAGAGGCTGTACCGGAAGATATACTCGATCCGAACTGGCCGGAGAGAGAGCGGCGGCGGCGGCGCCGCTCAGCGGAGCCTGTCGAAGATGTTCGCGTTCGTTCGGTGTCAACGGTACGCGTACGTCGGGGCTTTGCATTCTGCCTTGTTCTCCTTCACCGTGCTCGTCTCGTACGCCCTGCTTCCTGTTGGACCGCTCTGATTCGTTCGTTCCGTAAAATCTCGACCGCCAGATCGATTCTAATCGAATCTCGAAAAAGTTTAGCCAATCGAGCGTTTACTTTAAGTTTGGGTGTGGCTTGTGTTTTCCCTTTTCGATTCATGTAATCATATTTTTCTTCTAAATAAACATGGTTTGTAAATTGTAATCATGTTAAAATAAATCATTGGATTTCAAATCTGTTTTTTTTTTTTTTTTAAATTAATAGAATTGCAATTGTTTGAATTGTATTAGGTAAACTTTGTCATTATACAACAAATCACAAAATTGTATTAGAAATGTAAATCATATACGACGAGAGCTCGACTCGTAAATCAATCATGTCTCTCTACCACCTTGAACTCGAGAATCTGATCCGTAAATCAACCGGTTGACGGGCTAAACATCGTTGTCGATTTCTCAAAGTTGAAAAATATTTATTTACAATTAATTGCTATAAATATTTTCATAATTTATGTTATCTTTTGCCAAAAAAAATAAAAGAGAAAATCTTGAACAAAATCAGAGTGCGTTACCCCTAAATCCATGTAATAAGTTATAGTCAAATCTTTCTTGACAGAAAATCATTAAAAAATAGGTAGTCTACAAAATGTAATAGAAGAATAACGTTCATAGAAATGGTATTACATATAAATATAAATATATATACAATAACGTTAAAAACAATAAACAACATTAAATCCCTCGAAAAAACAAAATTGGATAAGAATCGAATGATGACACCTCAGATCACTCTGACGTCAAAAACCCCAACAGTGAAACTGAACCCATATAAAGTTGGAACTTATTCCTCTGTTTCTTGATTTCTTTTCGGAGATCAATCAGAAATTAAAAAGGGGTTTCTTGTTCTGCTTTTTTTCTATTATTTTATTATTATTTCTAAAAATCAGAGATCAAGAAGAAGAAGATGGGTGCAGAAGACTCAGTGAAGCGTCCTCTTGTATTTGCCTATTACGTCACCGGTCATGGCTTTGGCCATGCCACCCGCGTTGTCGAGGTTCTCTCTCTCTCTCTCTCTCTCTCTCTCTCTCTCTCTCTCACACACACACTGTGTGTGTGTGATTTGTCTGAAAAGATGAAAAAATAATGTTTTGATTCGATGTACTGATAAATTGTTATGTTATTATGGGTATGTTTTGATTCGATGTGTGTGTGTGTGTGATTTGTCTAAAAAGATGATTTTTTTTTTAATTCTAAAGCCCTCTTTTTTTTTTTTTTTTTAAGACTGGGATAGTCATTAATCAGTTCAATTGTTTATATAAATCATTTAATTGCATTTCTTTAGTGATGATCAGCTCGCTTTTTCGTGTTTGTTTGTGTTGTTTAGTATTTTTCATCTTTGATCATTGTCTCATTGCATCTTTCTTGCATAAAAATTACCCAAGAAAATATTTAATTGAAAATGTAGGGTTCATTCATGGTTTTACAGAAATGATACGGAAATTTGATTCTGCATTGCCTCGTATAGATTGTTTGATGCATCGGGTTTTATTTATTCATCAAAATCCAGCTTCTTAAAGCACGCTGTAGATCACTAGCTTTTTTTTTTTTTTTTTTTTTTTTTATTTCTTGTCTGCACATTACGGTAATAATTTGAACCCTGTGGAGATTCTA